CTTATTGTTTAAGACCTTGTATGTGAGGAGCAGGATTTTGAATTCTGTATTTAACAGAGTGCCAATGAAGGGAAGTCAGTATAGGAGAAATCTGCTCTGTCTTTCTGTTACATTTTTTATAACTTCTTCTGAAATGTAGAGGAGATATTTGTGCATGAAGATTGAGAATGGAGAAGTTTTTTTTTAAATGATTCAAACTAAAAGCAAAAAACTCCAATATGAATAAAACATGTGATTCGTGCAAAAAATTCAGTCACCCGCCAGGATAAAATCTACTAATGAAAGCAGGAAGAAAATGTTCACAGTGAACAAGAGGAGGTAAAAACAGGCCTTCAGATCTAGACAAATAAAACCTGCAGGAAGTCTCGACCTACTGAGAGAACAAAACCAGCTTTAAATCAGTGACTCAGCTGCTGAAAGCTGCCCTTCATAAAACTGCTGATATGATTATTAACAGTCAAAAAGAAAAAGGTTTGAATTCAGCTCAAACATGTGAGAAACAACAGAGATTCTTTGTTGGGATGTTAGCAGAGCTGTGGGCAAAAGTAAAGTAACTTGAGGACTGTAATTCAATTCAACTTTCTTTCTTTAGCACCAGTTTACAATTACAGTCGTCTTTGGGTGGAGAGGTCACCCAATTCAGGTCCACCTATAAACTTATATATTCTCCTGCAGGTGGAGCACTGTTTGAAGTTTAATAATAATGATCACATGACCAGAGGTGGGACGTAAAGTACAAATACTTTGTTGGTACTTGAGTAGTTTTTTTTTTTTCTGACTTCTTTTTATTTTCACTCCCTACATTTGAAACAAACACCTGAACCTTCTGCTCCTCACATTTTCAGAACGGACTTCAGGTTTGACGTCTTTGGGGGAGTTATTATTTTATCACTGTGAGCCTCAAACATCAAACTTATCTGAGCCTGAACAGAAACACATGACAGGCAGTCCTATTCGTTTATTAGTCCCCTGAGGATGTCACATGAAGACCAGAACCACTGCAGGTGTCCGTAAACTGCGCTTGCTGTACTTCAGCATCTAGTTAGCCAAGATGAGCGAGCACTTTTGCCACCTTTGCACATGACTCGTCACACAGTCTTACTGTGGTGACTCAAGTGAGCTAGCAGGTGTCTTTACCTGGAGTCAGAATCGTTTGACTACAAGTGCGGAACAAGCTTAATGAGAATACTTTGGACTTGAAAGCGGAACTGACGGCCTGATACAGACAGACAGTCCAAAGACCTGAGAGCAGATTATTTACTGCTCTGCTTTTATTTTAGTTATCTTTTTATAATCAAATCAAAGCTGTCTGTGAAGGTTCGCAGTGATCCAGGTCATGGTAGTCTAAGGAGCTTGGAAAGAAACGCGACTGGACATCTTTAAGTTTCTTGAAGACGTTTCACCTCGTCTCATGGAAAAGCTTCTTCACTTCACTTCTTCACGTTTCTTGAATCTGTTTAGACACGTTTATTTCACTTTATTTCAAATCCACAGACGTGGATCTGTGCTGCATACAGGGTAACACATTCAAGCCCAGGAGGGGAGACACACCCATCCCCGGGTCAGAGCCCAGGTAAACAGGAGGGTTGTGTCAGGGAGGACATTCGGCATAAAATCTGTGCCAAATCAAACTTTTGGAAAAACCTCTACACGTATCTACAAATTTCATATATTTAAACAGGTGGAGGTTTTCTCTGAGCGTCTCTAAGTGAAAGCAGCAGAATTTCTGTGATTCTCCTGTTACATTCTAATTTCAGATTCTAATATGATCAGCTGCTGACGGAGCTTTGAGCTCTGGTTCATTCACACCGATCTAGTCCCTCCTCTCAGGTGTTTCTAGGTGTTCTCTGTGGTCATCTGACCCTCCTCATGTTTGTGGTGTTCTGTCCACAGTCGATTCCCTTTGCTGGGACGATCCTGGGTGGGTTCTTGCCAGGTGAGATGGTTCTGATCAAGGGCTCTGTGCCGTCTGGTGCTGACAGGTGAGGATGCCGATCTTCATCATCAATCGGATATTTAAAAAAAAAACAAACGTCAGAGTCGGGGTGCAGATTCTTAAAGCGGGATCTTCTCTCTCTGTTCGCTGTCTCACAGGTTCCAGGTGGACTTCACCTGCGGCAGCAGCGTGAAGCCGCGGGCCGACGTAGCGTTCCATTTCAACCCGAGGATCAAAAAGTCGTCCATCGTGTGCAACACGCTGACGAAAGAGTGCTGGGGCCGCGAACAGATCCACTACGAGATGCCCTTCAGGCTCGAGGTCGACTTCGAGCTCATCATCCTCATCCTCCAAGACCAGTTCAAGGTGAGAGACGAGCCGACCAATCAGGTGTCAGAGAAGAGTCAGCACGGCAGAGTTTAACTGTTCAATGCGAGTCAAACTGGTGTCCAGCGATGTGTTGTTTTCCGTGCGTGTTCAGGTGGCTGTGAATGGCGCCCACCTGCTGGAGTACAAACACAGAGTGGAGCTGGAGCGTGTTGACACCATCAGCATCTCAGGAAAAGTCAAAGTTCAGGCTGTGGGCATCCTTTCCCCGAGCTCAGTGAGTGTCTCTGTAACCCGTGGCAACCTGCAGCTTTACCATCAGAGGGTTAACCTGTTTGTTTGTTTGTTTGTTTGTTTGTTTCAGAGCCCCACCTCTCCCGCTGGCAGTCCGCCCAATAAGGACACAGACGAATCAGCAATAATTGATCAGGTGTCCTTTCAATATCTGTGTTGCATTTCACTAGTATAGTTTTATGTTAGCTAAAGATTTGAAATCACTGTCTGATAGCATCTCTGGATGGCTGGCACTCATAAGGATTGTTTTCTGTGGAAAAAAAGTCACGTGATCTGCGAAATGCCTCCAAATATGAAAGCCCCGCCCCTTTCATGTGACTGCACAGGTCAAATCCTGAGTTACTTACCCAGTTGATAACCAGCTTGGTGTGAACTCTGACCCTCACTGTTAGCTTAAGTGGATCATAACAGAAAGATAACGTGGGTATCTTCATAGCACAGGACACGAGTCATCACAGGGCAGCGGAAATGTGGACCTTTCTGGAGAATCTGCGTCTGTTTTTTGATCAGCGTCGGATGTGGTCTGATTGGCTAGAGTTATGCATCAGTCGATCAGATTTTAATCAGATTTTTTTTCCGTGCGTTTCAGCCAGTGTTCTCCTCATCAGGTGATTTGGTGAGTTTTCCTGATCAAATCATTGATTGATGATGCATTTATTTCTTACAATAACAACAGTTTAATACAAAGAAATTTGAATGAATTATTTTTAAAGCAACTTTTAGCTTATTTTACTTAACATAAATATGATCAATTAAAATCTGTTTTTTATATCAGTCATATTATCAGCCCACATGGTTGGCCTGAAATCATATTTTGGTAAAGAAAATGATTTATCATATTTCACCCATTGATCTTACATTAATCAGTGAGATCACTGATCTTATTTGATACCAAATGATCTTCTAACTTTTAACACAGATCTAAATTTATATTTAAAACTATAAAGCCAAAAAAAGGGAAATGTTTTAGTGTGTCTGACTCTCTGTTTCCTACAGAGTATCCCGTTCAGAGGTCAGCTGGTTAATGGGCTGACAGTCGGACGCAGCATCATCATCAAAGGAGAGACCAATCAGAACGCAGAGAGGTAAGGATAATAAACAGCTGTGGGAGCCCAGTACAGAAACTGATCAAAGCGACAATCAGTGAGGCATCGATCAGAACTTAAATTAACTTTAGTAAAAATTTTGTTCTTGTTAATAACAACATAAGTTTTATGTTCTTAAATTCATAATAAATTAATCACAGCTTTGTGAATACAGGCTCTGATTTACAAGCTGACTCCACAAGCTGCTCAGAGACATTATGTTTGTGGGGTTTAGGTATTGTTGAGCCAACTAACACAATGAAAACCTGACTGTGATGAATAACTTCTATGTAGTAAACCTGAAGTCTGGCGCCAGTAGAAACTGATTAGCTTAAACTGAAGTGCAATGTTTGGATTAAAGTCACTGAAACATTTTCAGAGTTTACAGGTTTTATTTAAATATAAATTTAAATTGAGTTATGTGACCGTCACTTGATCATCACAGACCACCTTGCATGAACCTGCAGAGAAAGTAAACATGAAGCAGTTCAGAGTTTCGGTTTAGCCTTTCATGGCTCATTAATGACATCACTTCCTGTTACAGTTTCTGCGTGAACTTGCGTCCAGCGACCGGGTCCGACATCGCTCTCCACCTGAACCCTCGCTTGAAGAAGCGTGTCTTTGTCAGGAACTCCTTTCTGTCCGACTGCTGGGGTCATGAGGAGATGGCGCTCGCTTCCTTTCCCTTTACTGCGGGGCAGTACTTTGAGGTGACCTTTGACCCCTGCCTTAACATCCACATGTTGTGATGGGTTTTTTTGTTTAATTTTTAAAACCTGCTGTCATCTCCCCACAGATGATCATCCGCTGCGACGCGCAGCACTTCAGAGTTGCCATGAATGGGCAGCACCAGCTCGATTACAAACACCGTATGAAGGAACTGAGCGCCATCAACCAGGTGGAGGTGAAAGGAGATGTGACACTGCTTGTCGTCAGAGTCCTCTGAGCGCCTGCTAACCATCATGAACACGAAGCCATAAAAAAAATAAAAATAAAAAAAACCACTGACGCCTCCTCCGTAACCAATCATTTAACAGATTCTAACTTCATTTCCTCTTTTACTAAAAACCCATGTCTTGTCCAGTGTCTTCAAAATAAAAGTCTGTCATTCCTCACATCTGTCCAGCTGTTTTGTTCCAAAAGCAGCTGCTGATGATAGTGGTGCTGGCGCCACAACAGGGACCAGATCATCGCCCAGCCGTGACGCTGGGTCAGATGTTGAGTTCAGATTAGTTTTCTCTATGAACATGACTTTAAGTTTACGCAGTCAAATCAGATGAAACCTGAAGAACCAGATTTTAAAAATGTTTTAAACTTTTCAGTTCAACTTAATGTCAGAAGAAAAAGACCAGAGCTGGTTCCTGTTCACGGAGTCATTTATTAAAGCTCAGTATTAAAAATACACTAAAAAACAAAAACAAATGTAAACTGTACACATTTAAAACCCTGACATATTTACAAAGCGCTGAGCCACAGCGTTAGATTTGATCAGGTCTAATGCTGCGGCTCACAGACTCAAGTCTGTAAATAAAGATTCAGTTCATCATTTGACCCTAAAAGTCCAAGAGTCTGTTCCAGCATGCACCGGGACGGAGGTAGTGTGACAGCAGGGACGCTCCACCATCAGAAGTCAGCGTCCAACCGGAAGGTGTTGTCCGTGGGCGTCGCCATCACGCCCATCCTCTGGTACTCGCCCACCCGCTTCTCAAAGAAGTTGGTCTTTCCCTCCAGGGAGATGTTCTCCATGAAGTCAAAAGGGTTCTCCACCCGGTAGATCTGCACACAGAAACACCATGTCAGTCAGCTCCACCCACTGCCCCCACCCTGAGGTCACCCGCCCCCACCCATGGGCGAGTTCAGATAGGCGTCTGTGTCGCACTGCCGCTGCCCGTCAGAGAACCACTCGTCCTCTGATCAGACTCTGCAGCAGCACTCAGCCCCCATCACTGGCTGAGGTCCGTACCCCTGCGCACTTCATCATCACTCACACCATCACTTTCATCATGTTGCTCTCTGAGGTCAAAGAGTTCCTGAAATGTGTCTGTGTGGAGAACTGATCATGTTTTATTTTAAGTTTAGCTTGTCACTGAGATGAGTGTTGTGATGCTGTTTTTCTGCCTTTAAGTCAGTCACATGATCACATGACCTGTGTGGGGCGTTACCTTGGAGAAGCCGAGCTCCAGCAACAGTCTGTCGGCCACGAACTCGATGTACCGTTTCATCATGTCGCAGTTCATCCCGATGAGCTTGACGGGCAGAGCGTCAGTCAGGAACTCCTGCACACAAACCAATAAACCCATTAAAGCCATCCTGAACCAGTAAATCCACCATGAACCAGTGGGCCCAGCAGAGCAGCTTCACCTGCAGCTGGGACTCACCTGCTCGATCTCCACGGCGTTCTTGATGATGCTGATGACAGTTTCCTTGGGCGGTTTGTTCACCAGGTGTTTGAACATCAGACAGGCAAAGTCACAGTGCAGACCCTAAACGCGGCAGGCACACAAACACACGTTAAGAGTGACATCATCACTGGATCAATACCTGCAATCTGACACCAACAGGGAGCCTCACCTCGTCTCTGCTGATGAGCTCGTTGGAGAAGGTCAGGCCGGGCATCAGGCCTCTCTTCTTCAGCCAGAAGATGGCGGCGAACGAACCCGAGAAGAAGATCCCCTCCACAGCGGCAAAGGCCACCACGCGCTCTCCTGCAGATCAATAAACAGACAATAATCAATGAAGCTGCTTGAGGTGGAACCATTGCATCAGGTGGCCTAATGGGCAGCAGCTTATTTACCGTAGGTGGCGTTCTTGTTGCCGATCCAGTTGAGCGCCCAGTCAGCCTTCTTCTTCACGCACGGCAGCGTCTCGATGGCATTGAACAGGTACTCTCTGAGGGCGGGAACACATCGTGACTCACCAGTTAGATCAGTACAGGCCAGTTAAGCCACTACAGAACAGTATTTGGCCCCGCCTCCTGCGTACCTCTCTTTGGGGTCCTTGATGTACGTGTCGATCAGCAGGCTGTACATCTCTGAGTGGATGTTCTCCATGGCGATCTGGAAACCGTAGAAACACCGGGCCTCCGTTACCTGCACTTCCTGCATGAAGCGCTCCACCTGTTGGTCAAAGAGCGACAACAAGAGTGTTACAGCGGTCCGTGACCTCAAAACCATCTGTAAGAGCAGGCGCAGCGGCTCACCAGGTTCTCATTGACGATGCCGTCGCTGGCGGCAAAGAAGGCCAACACGTGGGAGATGAAGTAGCGCTCTTCGTCCTTCATGGCATCCCAGTGCTGCAGGTCCTTGGACAGATCCACCTGCACAGAAAGAGCACGTCAGCATCACGGTGTCCAGCATCAAGCCCCGCCCCATTACAGCTCTACCTACCTCCTCTGCCGTCCAGAAGGACGCCTCTGCCTTCTTGTACATCTGCCAGATATCGTGGTACTCGATGGGGAAGATGACGAAGCGGCGAGGGTTGTCCTTCAGCAGAGGCTCCTCCTCCTGCAAGCTGCTGCTCTTTTTCACTTTGGGCTGAAGACAAAGATCATTGCTCAGGATTATTGATTAGCTTATTCATCGATTCTGGAGCAAAAACAGTGAAAAGTTAAAGTTTGTGCAGATTTGCTGCCTGTATCGTTCACTGATCTGAAGGTGGTGGACAAAATAACAGAAACGGCATAAAACCTGAACACCACAGCAGCTCTTCCTAATAAACTAGAACCCTGAACCGACCTCAGCCCTGCCGCTCACTGTTGGCGCCACGGCCACAGTTTAGGCGCCACATCTGCACAGTAACACACACGAAGCTGCCGTCAGTGAGCTCAGCATCGACTCGGTCCGCTGATATGAGGAATCCGCTAAAAGTGCGAAGCTTCATGCGGCTTTTCTCTCACTTACCGCAGCAGCGTCGAAGATCCTCCGCGCGGTTTTGGACGCCAGGATGCGGCTGCTGTTCGGGCCCGGAGGCTGAAAGGAGACACAGACCGTCAGCACACACAGCGACTCTTTATCGATACCTGTAATTGTTCGGTGACGTTAAAGAATCGGCGGCCTCTGTGAGCGGGAACCTGAAGCAGCCTCACCGTGTTCTCTTTGTCCAGAGACATTTTGTCCAGCTGCCCGCTGAGGGTCTGCTCGTTCTTCACGGAGAGCGGGGAGCGCGCGGTCAGCATTGTGACTTTTCGGGTTCAAACGGACACAAAGGAAAAAACACAAGAAGCTAAAAGGAGCAGAAAGCTAAAGCTTAGTAGCTGCAGATAGACGGAGACAGTATAGGGCTTCCGCTGCTCGCCCTTTTATTGGAATCTTGGCGCTAGAACTGCTGGCCAATGGGCACGCAGCTAAATGAGCCCCTTTAAACAGTCGGGAGGGACCGAGCCAATCAGGTCGCGAGAAGTGCTCTCGTGACCCCTAAACGATTGCGGGAAATTCAAACTCTTTGTTTGTCCGGGTTACAAAACCTTTCGTAACTGCTGTTTACAAAATGATTAAAACGAGTACTTACGAAACCTTTCAGACTTTGATAAAAAAAATATTGCATTGGTTCATATTAAACATTTTATACTGTGATTCAAAAACACTTTAGAATGTTTCTCAAAGAAAAAACGCTTCTGTAATAATGAGACATTAGCGCCTAAAGAATCAAGAATTACATCTATTTTCGTGCAGGTTAAGTTCAGCGGGTTGTTCTAAATCATGTGGCTGGATCCACACATATTAACGGATACTAACCGATTTCTGCTTTAAAGGGTCTACCATCAACTCGCCGTTATTTAACTTGAATCAGTCTTTATTTCTGCTGCCGCCATTTCTGATTTCCTCTCATCTAAATGAGCTGTCATATCAGAGAACAAACACTTGCATCAACAAAAAATGTAAAAGTGCAAAGAGGATTCTGGAGGAATGTCGGTCACTTGAGCAGAAAAAATGGATTTAAAAGGAGATTTATTGAGTCTTTCTGGCTCCCATCACCTGAATGTGTTGTAACTGCGGTCTGAGTAGCTGTCAGCCTCTGAAGACAAACTTTGAATTTCATTTTCCTCATGAATCCGATCTTATTAAACCTACATCTCCTTCCAGCTTGAGAGCTTCGTGTTACTGCTTCCGGGTTACATCTGACGAGATCGGGTCGCTCAGTTTCGCCCCCTGTTGTGCGGGATGGACTTAGTGACTCAGTTTTCCAGTTGTTGTCGGCAACAGTCATGATCCTTTTGATGCATTTTGTAATCAAACTGTAAACATATTTGACTATAACTAAATGTCTGGATGAGAAACCCTTATCTGACCCTTTATCTCCAAATAACAAAAATATCTTCAGTAATAATAAACAACTATGAATCAATGAATCAATGAAAGCTTTAATAAAGTCTTAAGACTTAAGTCCATGATTACACAAAGCACAACTTATAAAACCAAAATGAAAATATAAAAATATATTTAAACATTAAACCATATTACAAATATAATGAACACAGGCCCAATGCTACAAACAGTACAATTAAAAGAAATCAGTTCACACATAAAGTCTTAAACCAGTGCTTCCTCAGACTGGATAAATGATGGGAATAACTCACAGTAGGATTTGTGAGTGCTGAAATCATAGCGCTAGCCGGAGCATCCAAATACTCTACAAAAGTGAACATTAACTTCTTCAAAAGTACTTTAAAAGTACAAACACCCTAACCTAACATAAACATCTGACTGGCACTCCCTCCTCTAGGTAGATAGGTAGGATTCTCATTGCATCATTGTAAGTGAAATGCAACTTCTGCATGCTATGAATGCTGAATGACCAACAAAACATTTTTTCTCTTTCATTTATGTCACCCAATGCTGTATGAAACATTTCTCGCGGGCACTTCTCGTACTTATAGTACGCACCGTACGTAGTACGCGTAGTGCACGTACTTCAAGCATGCAGATCCTGATTTGGGACACAGCCATAGTCTAGTAAAGTACCAGGAAGGGGTGGGGCTTCCTGAAAACTCCAGATACTTTATATTTTAAAAAGTTTTCTTTACTCTGCTAATGCATTTCTAAGTAATGTATAGTGGTTGTTTTTCATATGGATGACTCTCTTCTGGCTGGATTTATAAATGGGTAGGCTATTAATAGAAATATTATGATTGTGCTGTTTTGTTTTTAAGACTCTAATGACTCATTTCATCACACTGATATTCGGACATTCCTTCTTGTTAAGCATGAAGGTGCTCCGTTTACACTTCACTCTGTCCGAGCATAAATGTATTTTTTATTGTTAATTGATTTGTGTTCGTTTTATATTCAGTGTTTCACATGATGGTAAATGGCCTG